ATTTTTTAAAATATAATAATTTTTTTTATATCTATTATATTATTATATTAGAAATATGATATTATATTATTATTAATTAATTAATATTAATATAATATTAATCATTATTATATTAGAAAATTAAAATAATTATAAAAAAATTGATGGGAATGTTATAAATATAAATAATAATAATTTTCGTAGATTGTCACGAAATAAACTAAAACAAATTTGTATATAAATATTTTATCTTGAAATATAACCGTTCGTTGATTTATTGTGCAAACACACAAATCTGGCTAGCTTACAAAATAAAGCTCATTATTATCAGTGTATTATTGACTATTTTGATAATTTACTCGGGCACATTTTGGTATTTTATTACAAAACAGAATATTAATTACAAGGTATACGAACTGTTTGAAATTTATGCAAAATTTAAATTCGCCGATGTATAATGATAAGAAATATGTTACAATATTACATTATATAATTTTTTAATTTTTTGTAGTCCATATTAATTTGACTTTATACGACTTGAAACAAAATAAAATGACATAAGATCCGATAATAGGATATCAAACTAAACAGATATTAAAATGTAAAGACAAAAATTCTTTTAAAAAAACTAAAATATACATATTGTTCCTCTCTAACATTTTTTTAGTTAAAAGTGTAATGCTGTGACAGAAAAGTGTCAACAATCGTTTGTCATTTACCGAATTTTTGTAATCTGAGCAGTCGCTTTAAGATATCTCTAATGCAAAATGATTCACGAAGGCGATAAATATAATAATGTACTACGATTCAGACACGTGCAATCTATGAAACGTAATATCGGATGGAGTTAAGACAAGTTAAGCCGAGGCCACTCGTAGCAGCCCCGATAAACCGATTTGATGAGAATCATGGAAAATTTAATGCACTCGAGCCATAGCGAATTTAGAGGGTGGCAGCAAATATATATAGGCCTGTCGGTAGCGGCTGCGAATAATTACGCTCTCAGCTTCTAACGATATTCACAGCTATTACGTCCTTACGGTAATAACGCCTTACACTGCCTACAGTTACCGTATTCGCGATTATAAATGATATGACCAATAAGAACTGTGACGCCGTATGGTTACACCATCCTTACTTATCCGGAACGATCGATCTCGACGGACCTCGAAAACAAGGATAACGATGACATATATTACCTTGCTTTATTAAATCGCGGAATGAAGAAAAGAGAAAGCTCCCTAATTAATTTTAATGAACGTCCATTTTCGTAAGTCCAGCTGATAAAGGATCATTAACGAACTATAATATTAATATCGCTCCATTTGTCTAATGATTCTCTCTCCCTTCCTTTATCTCTAATTTGAGCTCGTTAGAAATTCGTTGAATTTCGGACCATTCGTTTGCTGCAATCAACGAATCAATCCTAGTTAATCGATTTGTTCACGACAGTACCTCATTAAAAAGGAAATAACGATGCTTTTCTATCGTTCGAAATCTCGCTGCAAAATCACATCATCACAATCATTGCACAGATTCGACATGAAACGCTCTTTCGACAAGTACTTACTGTACAAAATTTATATCGGAAATTTTTTTCTATGGCACGATTGAATTGTCACAGTTCACAGAAGTTAATTGAATTAAAAGCCATATATTGCGATATTAAAACGTGAGGCCGTAACACTATGAGAACAGTTATTTTTCAACATTATTTAACTGGCATAGAAAATGTAAAAAACAGGTTGAATATGTTTAATCATTGAATGAGAAATATTGGTATAAATCGATAAAAATGAGATTTTGATGTGTACATTAGCTTTCATAGATGATTTATTTTTTTTTGAGATAATATGTAAAACTCTAATTTTTTTTATCTAAAACCATAAAAAAATATTTGAAAAAGTAGTTATATTTTATGTTAAATGTTCTTATTTTCTCGTGTCCCCAAATTTTGTATATCTTATATCATAGAAAACACATAACTTATATCGCCATAAAATACCTTTATAAATTGCTATAAATAATCGTAGAAAGAAAATATTCTGTCATCAACTTGTATAATATTATGTAATTGTAATAATAGTATGAGAGATAACTCTCTTAAGAGATATATATATAATAATCCACTTTAATCTAAGAATCTGAGAGAGAACGAGAAACTGATAGCAATAACTGCATAAATAAAATATAACTTAAAATATCAAGAGTCGTGATAACGTTTTGCGCCAAGCATAATAATACAATATACATAACTGACTGATTCGTGAGATTAAAATATCAAAACACTCAAAAAAATGTCTTGCTGATATAGGTAGATTTCTAGGTGTCACAACAAAACTTTATCGCTATTCTGTGTACCACAGTCAAACTTTATAACAAGTATGATTGGCCTTACATGGATAGGCGCCACAGAAAAACATTCTTTCTAATTTTCACAAACAGTTCAGATATAAATTCTGTCTCTGTGACTTAGATTGATTAAATGCGAAACATATGCGATATCACAGTATTTGCTAATCATTTATGTACCTCAGTTAATTTTGCGCACCCAGAAAATTTTTGCTGTAGTTGCAATACCACTTTTTTGAGTGAAAGGCGCGAGAACTTTCAGGAACGTGAATTACGAGATACAATAAAATTGAAAAAAGGAAAAAAACGACAGCAATATCGAAATAAATCAGTATAAATCGACAATTTTGAACTTACCCTCTATGGTGAGCTTGCTACCGGAACACGTGATGTGTAGATGTATACGACCACGTCTTTCGGTGTGATCGCATCCGCATAGATTCGGCACGCTCTCCTCGCACCTCTTGTGTACGTTCATGTCGCATGCTACGTCATTAGATCATTATCGATTATACCATCATCGACTATAATTAATCTTTCTTTTTCTCTTTATCGTGGTCAGATCTACCCCTAGTGTGATTAATTTCAAACGAAACCGCAGCTGTTGTTTGTATTTTGAACTATGGGAGAGGAAGCAGGCTCATTCGCCGTTTTTAAACAATCCTAAATCAGCATCCGATGTCTTAAAACTTAAATGATTCTCCTGCAGCTGCGGTCGCGCGCATATGTACGCATGGGAGATAAACTATGGCTCGGGAATATAAATGAAATGTTTACTTCGAAATTATAGTTTATCTTGAAGATATGTTTCAAACATAGTTAAACATGTGTCAAATGTATAAAATATGTATACATATATTTTCTTACGTTAAATAAGCTAATATTTAAAACAATTCTCATTATAAAAAATGATTTCTTATTCGTCACAATAAAAATGCAACGATTAGCATATGTCTATATTTTTTATTATTTAAAATATCATATTACAAAATATATATTCCTGTTCGCATCATTTTCAAAATAAACTGCTCGAATATATTATACGGATGCTGAATACCGAAAAAACTCGTGTTCCAAAATATAAGAAGAATGTTTGCTCTTTTTTTCATGCTGATAAAAACGTAGTATATATCATATAAACATTACGAAAACACCAACGTGAGACGGCGGGTGAATGGAATCGTAGAGCGAATCGAATTCAAAACTAGTAGTCCGAAGAAAGCACATTGATGAGGCAGTCTGAGAATAATTGCTTTTTGTCGATCTAAAGAGAGTTAATGGAGCAAAAATTGGTACAGTAAATGGATATCTGGATAAATGAGCCTTTAAAAATGCGACTCGCTCTCCGATTCTATTTAATAAATTAAATTCGGAATTAATAATTGGACAGTAAAATAAAATCATTTAACGCATTGTATTTGACAAAAAATAAAAAAAAAAATAAAAAAATTTTTACGACAAAACATAGGATCTCGTTTGATGATGTATTCCCACGCGTACATATGTCAAAATGTTTTTCGCTATCTAATGCGCGTAGACATATGTAACAATAATGAAAGGTTCGACACACAAATGATAGATAGTGATCTGTGTGATTGTATATAAATATATGTCGACAGAAAGCTAAACTGCGAGTAACACGAATGATAATCACGCAAGTGATCAACACACAGTATGCAATCAGGGATTCACATGTTCGCTAAAGGAAGATATTATACGGTTACTTGAATTCACGCGCTCTGATAAATGGGCGCTATAAATCTACGGACGTAATAGATATATAACGTTTACGTGCATGCATGACAAATATTGTTTGTGTGTATATACATATGTACAGTGAATTCTTATATCTCGTGCGTCAATGCGTATAATCTAAATGCATACATACAGTGAAATTATTATTTATATACAGACTTATTTATATACAGATTATATATATCCCTACATAATCCTTAGAGTACTAAGTACTTAAAAGTACTAAGCCACATATAAAAATTCTTTAATAATAAATAAAACGTTGACAATTACATAAAATTTCACTGATCGCTTAAGCATACTTTATCTTTTCACAAAATGTTTTAATTCAAGATTTAATTATAAATATCAAAGTATCTTAAAAAAGAAATTAAAAGTTATACGCAACTGAATTAAAAATTATAGCCTCTTTAGAAATTTTTTCTACAAATAACTCGATCAAAAAAATTGTTATTAAAATTAAGAGCGAACAAAATTCCTTTTAAAATAGAAATAAATTTAATTAACAATATCCAATTAGATATTATTCTAACGAGAATTTCGCTGTATGTACAACCGCAGAACATAAACATTAGTAAACATTATTATATAATTATTCTATTTGAATAATTATAATAATAATATTACTCATTCGAGTGTGTGTAGAGGGTGATGATGCATTAAATCGTAAAATATATATAATTTATACATATGTACAATATACTGATTTAGAGATGCGTATGATGGCGCATCGGTGGATGTTCAACACCCGACGAGATAGATACGACACGGGGTTAGAATGCGCCAGTGTGAATAAGCGGCGGGTGAATAGGCAAAGAATGGAGAATGGTATATTAAAATACGCTTCTGCTCGCGCTCTTTGTCGTCGAACATAGGTACGAGACGGTCGTCCATACGACAGAGAGAACGAGGAGAAGAGAGCTAGATGCAACAACAATACAATATACTCGTGATAACACAATTAAAAATGTATCAAGGCCGAAAGTAAAGTATACCTACGTAAGACCAGTCACGTTAATACTTTGTATTACCGTTGTGGAGAACGCGTTATTACATGTATCTCGAATAATGTACGTTCATTCAAATCACGAGCAGATCGTAGTCGATTGGCTTCTCTTATAGTTCAGCGATCGTACGGATAATGTTTCATATTTAAAGACGATTTAATGGAAAAGAGTAATCCCGATATAGAGAGCGCGAACGTGTTTTCCCTCATTTTTCCGAAAGCGCGAAACAGTCGCGGATAATAATCTCGTCATGTCACCGCGACACTCGGTATACATCTCTGTGTGCCACTCTTGCCGCATTGCAAAAATTCACACATAGGGAGATATCGTCAATACCCGGTATACGATTTTCTGTGTCAGTTGACGTGTAATCGTGCATCTCGTCCTCCGGAAACTTCTCCACGGGGCTCGCAAGAGAGGAGACGATGAGATTTAGCGCTCCGAATGTGGGGTGCCCGGGTCTCCGGGTCGGGGAAGATGAAAAATGCTTCTTTTGGATGCAACAGGGAGATGATTACGCGATCTAAATCCCGTGTAAAACCCGCGGCGAGGACGTCGGAGCGTGAAATGTGAATTACACTCGAGTCAAGGATCTGGATTTTAAAGTGAGATCTTTTGCGAATGTCGAATGATACGATGAAAATCACGATAGAATTTCGTATCTGAACGTGTTTTCCCTCATTTTTCCGAAAGCGCGAAACAATCGCGGATAATAATCTCGTCATGTCACCGCGACACTCGGTATACATCTCTGTGTGCCACTCTTGCCGCATTGCAAAAATTCACACATAGGGAGATATCGTCAATACCCGGTATACGATTTTCTGTGTCAGTTGACGTGTAATCGTGCATCTCGTCCTCCGGAAACTTCTCCACGGGGCTCGCAAGAGAGGAGACGATGAGATTTAGCGCTCCGAATGTGGGGTGCCCGGGTCTCCGGGTCGGGGAAGATGAAAAATGCTTCTTTTGGATGCAACAGGGAGATGATTACGCGATCTAAATCCCGTGTAAAACCCGCGGCGAGGACGTCGGAGCGTGAAATGTGAATTACACTCGAGTCAAGGATCTGGATTTTAAAGTGAGATCTTTTGCGAATGTCGAATGATACGATGAAAATCACGATAGAATTTCGTATCTTTTTTTTTTTATTTTTTTATTTTTTTGAATATTCTAGAATTTTTGAATCGAAACGTTTCTCATTATTCCGATCGATGCTGAAAGCGGCTTAATTTTAGTAAATCCACATTTCCGTGCCATGGAGATGAGCAAAATTGATTTCTATGCTTATTCGCGATAATTGGTGTATCCGTAGCAAGGGAAATTAAATCCACCGAAATCGCATCTCTTTCAATCCCTGATTGGAAAAATCCGAATCGAAAAGGTTTCCGAATCGTAAAATATTACATATTTAAAATATTATATATCTATTTTCTTATTATTACAAATATTTATTTAAAATTATATATAGATAAAAACATTTTATATTCGTAAAAATAGTAAATTGACTTTTTTTTGTAAATAAGTGTTAGAAACTTTTAATAACTTTGACCGAATCTTGTTAATAAAGAGCAAGGAATCTGAATAAATAATTTCTCAAATTTTTGAATAAGCAGATAGTTTGCTAAAAAGATGTAAAAATCATAACGTTTTTGTCAACTAAAAGATATAATTTCATTTTAATACATATGTATAAAAAAATATATAATTTTTATCAAAAAGATATATATATTATAATATATTTTTTCTATAATACTATGAGCAACTTGTGCCTCTTTGTCGATGACTCTTGAATGGCTTCTGTTAACAAAATTAATGACATAGAAATGACTGACAATATTCATCGGGCTTCCGTGCTCGTATTCCGTAATTAAATAGCTGTAATTAAATCGACCGCTCTAATAAATTGCACGCTTTGTAATATGTATATCCACATACGGAGTTTTCCATTTGTTAAATACAAAAACATGGGTCTACACTTTTATGCCAAATTACTATTAATAAGCGATATTTATACGCGTATAAATTTGCTTACTTAATGTTCATGCATTTTGTTTCAAAAAAAAGTCGTGAGATCGCATTTTCTGGATGGTTTATTTAGCGATTTCATTCGCCAGCAAACGTGACAAATTGTGTGACTGTGGAAGAAACACGTCGTTTTTTAGCCGAGAAACTTGATGATACGAATGGTTATCGCCTTGAGGCACTATCTAAATGATATCGTATACGTTCCGTGGAATTATTTGACCTTCGATGGTCATAAGAATGCGAAGGCCATCATATAAACGAAAATGAGAAATATTACGAAAGTAAAGAGCGGCGTGAGTGGCACTACCGTGTATAACCGGTGATTATCCTGGGAGGAACCTCTCCGTTTCATAAACTCTCTAAAAAAAAATTGCGCTTCTAAATATATATATAAAAAAAATATTTAAATATATAACATATAATTAAATAATTTTTTAGAAAAATAATTAATAAAGCGAGGTAAATGCAAAGCAAAGTTACAAAATAATCATTTAAATCGGTTATTACGACAAAAAATATATTTTTTGAAATTTTACAAACTACATAACGTTTCTTGTCCAAATCACATTCGAATAATTTGTGATACTGTACGATTCTTGACGAATCCTTCAAATTTAGAGCGCTAAGATTTGTTGTATAGCTTTGCGTTGGCTCCTCCCAGGAATCGGTGACCGGAAGTTGTCGGTTCGTAAGCTCATGTAAAATCTACGCTTCGAGGCGTCCGTCCGCTCGGACAGTCGGATAAAATGCCTGGCGAAGCGAAATATCCTCGAACACACGATCCTGAATCTACTCGAAACAGATGCCCGCGCGACTACGGGAGATACGGAGTTTCGAGTCACCTGATCTGTGCATTTCCGAGATGCTCTCCCGAGGATTTCACGGACGACGAAGAAAATCCATGGAACATTTGTTATTCCTAAGGTCGATACCGTCCCATCTGGGTTCAACCCGACATCTATTTCTGTCCGGTGCTAACATTTGACCAGTTCGCTTAATGCGTTTTCGTAATCAAATTTGTCGCACTTCTAATAAAAAATGTATAATACATTTCTTCTTATAAAGTATTTAGCGAATTTGTAATTATTCAGAGAATGTTTGAAAAATATATTACGTGTCGACGAATAATCTATTTTCAAAATGTATATGCAATGCTTTCGAGAAAACACGTTCCGACAAAAATTGAGAAAAAAAAATAATATTCTAAAAAGTCTTAATTTATTCTCATCTCACTTTTAATTAAATGACTTTAAGTGATATTGCCTAAGTGAGTTAAAAAATACTTGAATATATTTTATTCATTTAATTAGTAAACACATTTTTGTATTTATATCTTTCATTTTAAATACATTATAAATAAAAAATTCATAAACATTTATGCTAACAGCATGGCATAATTAGTCAAGTCTTGAATCTTTAATGTTAACGCTAAATTAATCGATCAGCTTATTGTTGCTGGAAATAAAAATATCTATTTTTTTTAACTATGCTTTAAATTAGCCGCGATAACTTTAAAGCGATTTAATGCACCATGAGATAGAAGTTACAAAGAAGAACTTAATTGCCTAGTACTTTTGTATACCGGCTGTTCACGTGCGCGCGGCCTCGTAATCTGAAAAGCCTGTAACTGGGTCTCCGAATAAGCGCGCGAAACAAGCGCAACGATGAAGCGCGATATCGATATGCTAGCTATTAATAGCGGTATAACGAATTACCTGTTTGAACTGTCGATGGATTTTCGATATTCTTTTTTATCGGTTTATTTCTCACTTTGCTCTTGTAATAATAACATATATATCATCCATTAAAATACTTTAACGAAACCGTAACATGACCGTGTTTCTACTGCAACGCATTGTCAACAACACAAAACCACCTTTACTGCCTTGTAATATTCGTGAATTATACACAGTTCAACAAAAAAATACAAAAATAAAAATAATTATTTCTTATAATTCTTATGATGTTGAATGTAATTTTAGAGTTCAAAATGCTCTATAATTTTGTGAAAATTGAGAGATTATATTTGTAAAAATATTATGCTATTTTAACATACTTTATTATATAACAGCTCCGCAGCATATTTAATGCAAATATTTAAGAAAAGTTTAATTCTCTCTCTTTTTCTTAAGAAATAATTTTCTTTCTTCGTTAACAAAAAGTTCTTCCAAACTATTATATCGAGCTAATTAACACATTTATATTACGTCAAGGAGAAAGTCGCTGCTGTCTAATATTCCGTAATCAAATTCGATGACCAAAATTTTGACATCGGCTGTCAAATCGATCATTTTACCGGGACAGAGGCATTGAGGCGACCCAGATGGGAAACGCATTCCTGTGGAACCACGAAGGTGATTGGTGGTGGTGGTGATGGTGATAATGATAGGTCAGGATTGATGTGCTGAGATATCTGAGACCGTTTGATGGATTTGGCGACGTGTCGTTGACGCGCGCAACGCGAGCTTGACTTTTTCGACTTAGCTTTCTAACTCTACCTGAACACTTGAGTCCCTGATGGGCGATACCATGAAGCATCGAGCCGCAGTGGTCGCAGAAGGTCGGCGTCAGGTACGTGAACACATCCCATTTGTGCTTTTGGCTCGCCTGGGAACAAGAAATAAAGACCCGGGAAAGCCCGGTCCTTTATTTGCAGTCTGATCTCGCATGAGAAGATCGAGACGGACGGTAACGTCGATCGATATCCCAAAAAATTGGAGGGGATTTCAGTTCCGGAGGAAAAAGCATTAAGCCTATTCTGTCCCCCCTTTCCCTTTTTTTAATAATATACATGTAATTGGATACGCGAGAAATCTTCGTGTTCATCACCGGTAATGTCAGGGTTAACGAACGGAAACGCCTATTTTTTCCCCCCTTTTCCTCTTTTTTTTTTTTTTTTTTTTTTTTTTTTTTTTTCTTTCATCAACCCAAAAGCTGAAGTGAGGTAGAAGCAACAAGGGGAAGTATATACGTGCGCGTAGATCATGTGATGATGAACGTAAAGGAACAAGGTGGCGCACACGATCATGATGAAACGTCATTGATGTGTGTCGCACAGGTGCAACTTGAACTTCTTTTACAGAGTCTGTTTCGCACATTGTGAGTATCGATATAAATGTCGATACGACCTATATCTAGATATGTTTGCGCACAGTTTCTAACCAGAAACACAAAGTAATTTTTGTTTTGTTTTTCGTCGAGCTAAGATTTGCTAAGTTTGCAATTGGACGAACTAAAAGAGAATTTTCGCTTTATCGCGAAGTCAAACAAACTGTTAACAATGGCATAAAATATGTTTCTGTGTTTTGTGTTGCAGTTATAAAGTGGATCCTTTAATTAATTCGTAATTATCTCTCCAATGAGATAATTATTATGATACGATAATCTCTCATAAATAAAGAATGAAATTAACTATACGTACAACCTCAGAGAATATTTTACAGTTGTATTCTTGTTGAATGTATTGGGATTGAACACCCAAAATAGCTGAAAATAACTCTACTTTTTAAATCAAATATATCGTGAATACAAATGATTTCAATCCACTTTTCCGATGCACAATGAAAAGTGCGGATTCGTGACAAAGTACGTGAGGAAGAAATTCAAAACAGCAGAATAACACACAATGGCACACAAAAATTCCCTAACGAGATGTCACTTGTGAAGTCTTGAAAGGTTGCGCTGCGGTTCGAGATCGCGTGCGACGGTCGATTGGAAATTTACGGTCGTTACTATGAATATTTTCCTTCGCATAAAAGACTATAAAAATCTGTTTCACGAGACTTGAACGTGGGCAGAGTATCATCAGTTATTATCGAGTCGAGTATGGTCAATAGCAGCGTTATTCTTAGGGACGACGTAGGAAAGGCTTTCACTCAAAGTGCTCAAAAGAACGTCAGCGGAAAAACGCAGTGCTGATATCTATCGAAACTGCGCGAATATCTATCGATGATAAAATCTATAAAATCTTGATCAATTTCTGCCCACAATTCTATTACGTCACGCAATGTTCAAAACGAGAAAAAGAGAGAAGAAGAGCCTTCGACTTTCAAGATAATTTTCATCATCGAGAATGATTACTTGCGCCATCACTCTGTGATTCTCGAAGAGTATTCGCTAATCACAAAATACTCAATATAAATAAATTTAAATTAAATAAAATTAAATAACACTTTGCTTTTCCTTTTTTCTTCTTTGCAAAAAAAAAAAAAATAAATGTAAATTATACGATATTTTCTATAATCTCTCTTATAAAACGAAAACGGTGCGAGTAGAAATACCATCAAAGACACAAGAATTCTTGTAAGCTGTCGAACTAAATTCCTCAAAGTAATACCTACGAGATTTAATTGAAGAGCACCTGTTCGAGGGCATCTTGTAGCAGAGAATCTCTCCCATTTGCGAGACGCACAAAGAATCCTTGCGCAACGCCAGGCTTCCTCTTCTCCAGCCTTTTCTTCCGGACTCAACCATCTAATTAATTTCCAGACCAGTCTTTCGCCCTTTTCCTTCCCGCCTCCCTCGCTTCACATCTCGGGCGTCAGCTCGTCTTTGCAGAGAGAACCTCCTCTCTCTTTATCATTATTTTCCGTAAAAGACTAGACCTTTGTCATGACTCTACGAGTGCATTTGACGTGAACATCATCTAGACGCGTATCTTCGTTATAGCTTTACCTTCCATCCCTTTTCCCCCTTTGCTCGCGAATTCTGCTCATAGTCCGGCTCGAAAATAAAATCACGGAAGCAAAAAACGTGAAACCCTAGATGGAATTTATACAGTCCGTATTATATCTTTGCCATTGTGTAATGTGTTAAAATCAGATACTCGATGGAATGGAGCAAACATATCTCTATGAAAATCAGCGTGAAATAAAGGGACAGTTGGAGATTATAGCGTTTCAAAATTATAGACCGCAGAATTGGATTAATGGTTAAAGTAGTGCGATGTAATAGCGAACGTATACGCTATAACTGCTTTCTAACTTCATTAGGAACTTTGCGCTCTTTAATCGACCTCACCCGCTTTAACCGCATGAATAATACATTTCCAAATCTGACAGACAAAATTCTGTATAATATCAAAAATAATGAAATTTTCTCAAATAATGAAGTTTTTTTCACGCATATAATATTTTTATTGAATATCTAGTTTTCACACATATATTATATATAGAATTTTTATATTCTTTTTTTATACTTATAATCATTTATAAATAATTTATTGTGCAAATCTGATAAATATACGACTGACGTTCTGTTATTCTTTATAATACAGTCACGAACAAGAGCAAGTATATTTGATACGTTAAATATTAATCCCTTATTGCAATCACGAAGATTACCTGAAAATCGATGTGAAAGTTTGCCAATTGGAGAGAATAATGTCGAAATTTTCGCGACAGAAATGATTGTCAAGAGTCCAATCACGAGCACGAGCACTTATACCGATCTCTAAAAACCCAGTAGAAGAGAGATAAATATGGGACGTGAGCGCGCTTAAGAGAGACTTACAGAAAAGCCATTGTTCTCACCTTTCTCTGGACGACAATAAGAGAGCGACAATACATATGGAACGTTACTAAGAACGTTGGAAATCTAGCCAGCCAGAAATGAAGAAATTAAACGGTACAACGCGATATCGTATATATTGGAATTGTGCCATCTACATTTCCGGCCTGTTTTCTTTCTTTTTCGACGAAAAGGATGGATGATTATATCAATGGTTGAACGATCAAGTGCGCCAATTCATCGTCACGCTTATGCTAATCAGATCTAATCGAACCATTGCTGTCGCGAAACGCGCTCCTTTAAGCTCGCGCGCCTCTTGACGGCCAAGTTAACTGTGTCGCTTTTATCGTTGCATCGATGGCGTGTAAAATTGCGGCTCGCGTGCCTTTGATCACCGCGAAAAGATTAGCGGAACGCGATGTCTTTACTCGACACGATAAAGAAATGATAAACATATTCAAGAAGTACAAAAGCGAATCGAATTAGATAATCTGTTGAAAACAAACTAGATATGTGAGATGCCCATTACACATTCCTGAACATTGGAGATGTTTGCTTTTGTATGTTATACAAGTTTTTTTTTGTTTTGTAATATATGTGCATTTAATTACCTTATCGCTTTTATATCACCCGTATAGAAAAACCATAAAATAGGAAGATTATAAGTAGACTTCGATCTTAAAAAATTAATTGTTTAATAATGAATTAAAATTGAGAAGTTTTATATGCACATTAATATGCCATTATATTATATCTCTTATTGTTAGTACGAAAGGAAAATATCGCAAGATTTTTCGTAAACGAATGATAAATTGAATTCGCGAATAGTAGATCATTCTTTTGATGAAATATATTCGAAACTGACCATACGTTGTTGCGAATTCCTACTACAAACGACCGATCGTGAATATCGTGACCAAGCAACGATCAAGTTTGAAGAAATTAAAGCGTCGATAAATCGCGGATAATAAGAAATAATAAAGAAATCGATGATTCACCGAGTTGAATTAAAGCGAACACATTAAAAAGATATACAAAAATGTCGTAAACTACCAGGAAACAAAGACCTTCGGAGAACATAAACGAAAAGTAAGAAATTGTGAGACACACGCTCTTAGAATAAACGCAACGTACACAAAAGGAGGAAAGAGATAGACGACAAAAACGGAGGATCACGTCAATGTCTCGTAGAAGTACATCGAAGAATCACATCGAGAAAATACAACGAGAATCACATCGAGCAAATACAGCGAAAGAGTACACGACTTTTGTGCGGTTGAGGTGCAACGGCAGAAACTTGTGGTAACAATGAAAAAAATATACAATCGTAAAAAAAAAGTCCATCAATCTCCAAAGTCTACACGGGCCTAAGAAAAACGTAGAAAAGCAAGTATCACACTATTTTTATTCCATAAAATTCTCGAAATATTTCGGATATTATTTTCGATAATATGTAATTTATATTCACATATAAATATATTATAGTTTTGAAATATCATACTTATAAATCATTCGTAAAATTTGACGTCTGGTTATCTTTTTTCTTAGGCATATATAGAACTTTATATCGTCCAACATATACACGTTAAATGCACACATACATACATACACACACGCACACAAATCATGAACAAATCATACAACAACTGCACAGATATTATTTACAAACGCAAACCTGATCGACATATAATTCCGATAACCAGAGAATCTGGTCCGATATATTTTCAGTGCCATAACTGTACAAGGATTATTTACAGTTTCGTTGAGTTTATGAAGGAAGATGGAAATGGACTTGACAAAGAAAAAAATACAACTCATATATTCGGTGACGTTATATCAGTGACTACATATGTGCTCTCGATATATACTATATCGGCTCGCGGACTAATTGTCAAAGCAAACTCGTTTTTCTTTTTTTTCTCTTTTTTTTTTTCCTTTTTTTTGTGTCGTCCAGAACAGTCGATGTTACCGGTCTAAATACTCAAAGGTGAGTTCATCCAATTATCGACAAAAGGCATTCTTTTGAAACGCCAACTTTTTAAATCAAACACAATCATCTAGAATAAGTAATCCGTATATTAAACTAAAATATATTAAAA